TATATTATTCTTGTGTTGAATTTCTGGGATCTTAACTATTATATGTCTTAGTGTGTTTTTAATTGAATTGAGGTTACTTGGCATTCTGTATGCTTCAGTTACTGCAATATCAGATTGTTTCCTCATATTTGGGAAGTTTTCTGCTGTTACTTCTGCCCATTTTTTTTAGTGGCATTTGTATTGACTCCTTCTTTCTCATTGATGTCTATTAGTCTCACATTGTTCATGTTTGCATCATCTTGAAGGTGATGGATTATGTATTCCTGCATCGTAGTTGTTTTTAAGAGATTCTTTCCTACCTTTTGTGTAGCTGCATCAGCATTTTCAAGATCTGAAACTCTGTCTTCACTTTCACGCAGTGTTTTTCAAACTTGTGATTGAGATTTTAATTTCCTGTATGTCTCTTTGACTCTGCTTCTTGCCGTCTATTTATTTTCTATATTCTCATTCAAGGAATCCATCATTTTTTTAATCTCTTCTATTTTTTTTTATCAATGACTTCTTTAGAAGAAGTTACAAATTCATTTAGTGCAGTGTTTTTTTCAGTTTGGTTTTCCTCCCTATCTTTCTGTAGTTGATTCTTTACTGCGGATGCTATGAGTTCTGAGAATTCTTTTTTTATTTCAGAATATAATCCTGCTCTGAGTTCCTTTATAACTTTCCTCTGTTGCTTATTTACTATCAACACTATTAATTCACATGTTTAAGCTGAGCTAGTAGAAAAGAATTCCGCTCTGATTTCCTCTATGACTTTCTGCTGTTGCTTATTTACTCTCAATGCTATTAATTCATACATTTGAGCTGAGCTAGTGTCCTCTACACTTGTTCTAGGTGGACATTTGTTTTCCTCCATCTATTTCTGCATTTGATTTTTTACTGCAGATGTTATTAATTCAGGGATTTCTTTTTTCATTTGCAATCTGAGTTCCTCTATACCTTTCTGCAGCTGTTTCTTTATTTCAGAAGCCTTTGATTCATTGCTTTCAGCTGTGTGATTTGCAATTTGTTCTGTGTCAGTGTCCTCTGCACTTGTTATGGGTGGGCTTGGTGTCTGAGATTGCATTTTGTTCCTTCTCGTTGTCATTTTGTGTATCATTTTCTTCTGACCTTTGTTGTGGATCTTTGTTGCAGTTTTAGCCTTAGCACCTAGTGAAGTTCAGGTGTGGTTCTACAATGTTTGGATTTATCCAGCTGTGCCTGGATTGTGTCTGGCTGCTGTGCTCATTTCCTTCCTGTTGCTCCCCTTGGGGGTGAACCTGTTGTGCCCCTCTGCCTAGATGTTCTTTTCCTGGACTAGCTGTGTGGTTCTGTCTCCTGTGCTTTCTGCCGGTATTGCATCTGAAGTGTTTCACCCCATGTCTGCATGTCAGGCCTGAGCTGCATCTGGTGGTGACAAGTTGGAGTACGGGGGAGAGGCAGCTCTCCTACACACTCAACAGGCCTGGAGCTGCACAGGGTATGGGGGTTCCCAGAATGTGACAGAAATTCCTACTCTGTGGGCGGGGTGTGGGGGTGTACTATGGAGTTATGGGGGGCTTTCCAAGAGGGTGAATGAGGGTGCTACACATGCTGCACCTGGGCTGGGACCAGTAGGTCATGCCAGCACAGGGTAGCCAGAAGCTCTCCCACACACTCACCCAGCCTGGGCTAGGACTGAATCTGAGGGTTACCGGAATGCAGTAGAAATTCTTACTGGGGAGGTGGGGTAAGGTAGGTCTTGCATATTGGTGGGGGGTGCCCCAAGGGGCTGGAATAGGGTCTCACCCACACTGTGCCTGGGTTGAAACCAGTAGGTCCTGCCGGTGAAGGGTAGCCAGAAACTCTCCCACATACTCACTGGGCCTGGTCTAGGACTGGGTCTGGGGGTTCCCAGAACGTGGCAGAAATTCCTACTCAGTAGGTGGGTAGGGGGAGGTGCTGCGGAGTTGTGGGGTGTGTTCCAAGGGGGTGGAAGAGGGTCTCACCCATGCTGCGCCTGGGCTGGGACCAGTAGTTGGTCATGCCGGGGCAGGGTAGCCGGAAGCTCTCCCACACACTCACCGGACCTGGGCTAGGACTGGGTCTGGGGGTTCCCAGAATGTGGCAGAAATTCCTACTTGGCAGGAGTGGTGGAGGAGGTGCTGCGGATTGGGGGGGGCATTCCAAGGGGGTGGAAGAGGGTCTCACCCACGCTGTGCCTGGGCTGGAACCAGTAGGTCTCGCCAGTTCAGGGTAGCCAGACCCCTTTTCATTTCTTTCACAATTCATAAATCACTTAACTTATGTTGTTCCAGATTTTCATATTCGCATCCTTTCTAACAATATAGCAACCTTTTATATCTCCTCCACTGTGTATGAAAATGACAGAATAAGATGTCATTTTCTTGTGCATTTCCTAGGAAGTGAGGAGCTTATCATGGCTTACACAAGAGAAATATCCTTACAAATATACAAAGATTGTCTTTGTTGTAGTCCTTAAAGAGAATGTTCTCTCATGTCTATTAAGTACATTTGATCCACAGTATGTTTTAACTTTGTTGAAGCTTTTGTTTGCTTTTTTTACTGACTTTTTGTTTGAAACCTGTCCATTGAGGGAAGCATGATATTAAATGTTATGAATGTGCTAAGCTAGTTCGTAGCTCATTAGTTCCTGTGGCCTCATGGTGTTTTACACAATGTGGTAGGTGCATATAGATCATAATCATTATGTTCACATTTAGTTAATTTTGCCAACTTTTTTTTTTATAGAACTGGGGAATGAACTCAGGCCCTTGCACTTGCCAGGCAGCACTTATGCTACTGAGCTATCTCCCCAGCCCCAATTTGACAACTTTAGAGAGGAGATTTTTCTCTTATACTTTGAGCGTTTAAGTCATCTTTGACAATTGCAAATACATAGATGGCTCACTTTGTATTTCTACTTGTTGAGAATATTATCTTGTATCCATTGACTATGAGTCTTATGTGTTTTTATTGGTAAGTGAATTTTTTGGTAATAAACTATGAATTAAATCTTTGAAATACTATTCTATCCTGGTAGGATGTTCTCTGTCCTAATTGTCATGATTACAGTAAGTAAACCACAGTCTAACTACTGTAAAAATGAAAGAGGAAAACCTCAATATCCTGTCTGAAAAATGCAGTTTCTACCTCTTAAGTTTGAACATGCTGCCTTTTCTGGGAAATATCCTCAGTCTTGATACAGATTTATGGGGCATGTAGGGAAAGTAAAATGACCTCAAGGAGAAGCAACCTACAAGGTTTCTTGAGCAAAGAAAACAGGCAGAATGACACTGTCAATGTTAGGGATTCTTCACATTTGGAAACTTTGCATCATTTCTTCTATATTCTCTATTTCCTCAAAATTTGAGAAATACCAATATGTAGTCTAAAAATAATTTTGAAAACATTCACAGTTCCTATGGACTGCAAAAAGAATCCCAAACAATGGCAGATGTTTTGCTGAAGCCTAGATGGTCACCCAACAGAAGAAAAGAAATAACAAGAAGGAATACAAGACATTGGTAGTCCATCTGTGGTTCTAAAATTCAAGATTCCTTAGAACGAAGAGTGAGACACGACAATCAGAAACTGCATGATGCTTGTTTTATTGGAATATACATGATACTGTTATGAGTCCAAGGTTCCAATTGCCTAGTTTTCTGAAGGGCATCATCTTCTCATTCAGTCTCTGAAACAACAAAAGAGGAATGTTACAGAGGAGATGTTACACAGCAAGAGGGTCTTGATACCTTGATAGGAAAACTGAAGTGAGGCAGGTGAGACTCAAACATCTCTCCTCTAACCTCCTTCCCCTTTCTTCCTAATTTTCCTTGTCAATTCTTGTTGGCGTGTCAGAACATAATGTGCTCTAAATCATTGGTAGCAAAATGAAGAAATGAAGATTATTCCTAAGCTGTTGAACTCCTTGTTGCTATAAAAATTTTCAAAGATATTTTTATGAAGAGGATCAAGGCAACACCTCATTACAATGAAATTTAAACCTATCAAAGTGACAATTAACAGGACTGTATTGGTGAAAATATAACCCTAGAATTACACAATGAAACAGTGTGTGATTTTAAACTGTATAAAGAAACAAGTAAGAATGATCAATGGCAAAGAAACAAAATTGGTAGAAGAAAAAGGAAGGAAAAGATGTACAGAAAGGAAAGAAAGAAGGAAGAGAAAATGCAGACAACAAAAGGAAGCAAAAAGGAGAGGAAAATAAAGAAACAACAAACAGGGCAGGAGCCAGGAATGAGGATAGCAGATAGATCGATGAAAATCTGTGAGATGATTTCAATGTTTCCTGAGAAATATTCTATGCAAAGTGGGCCATGGAGAGATTCTACATGGTGCCATATGTGTAGCAAATGGGTTATGTGGCTCTGTATATATGCAGACATTTCCAAGAGGATGTGGAAGGGAAATGATGATCCTGGCTTGGGGCACGGGAGGTAGGATAAGGTGGGCCTTTCAAATTGCACTTCCTGCTCTTCTCTTCAATTAGGTTAGTTCTCACAGTGGGAAGAGACTAAACAGATATCAGGACTTAAAAGTCAGGGTGACACTGAAAGGCACATATGTGAATGTTCTTTGTGAGGAGCTTTGGACATGACACATGTGCTGTGAGATGCAAGAGAGCTCTAAGTGGTCAGAAGGAAATGAGACACTAGAAGTCACTAACTCTGAGAAGGAAAGAGAGGACCAATGGGATAACACTGAAGGGGTTCCTCAGTACACAGCCACTCATCATAGGCTCAACAGAAAATCAGGGAATGTGCTGTTGAAAATACATTTCATCCCAAGAGATTTTAAAAATAAAGCATCATGCTATCATAGTGCAGAATATATAAATAGCAATATGGAACATTTGACTTTGCTGACCTCAACTTGATGCCAGATGAATGGTGGTCATACTGATCTTTCAAAAGTACTGTAATGGTCTTTGGTGAAAAGTAATCATTGATCTAACCCAGAACTGCCTTCAGACTAAGAAGCTGAGGCCTTAGAGGTGGTCAGTGTGGCTTAAGGATCCATGAAACATAAACCCTGGCTCTTCCAGTAGGCAAGGAGACAAAGCACAGGTAAGTACCTTCAGACTGAGGTGGTCCCTGGTGGTTTTCTGGAGGAGGAGGACCATTTGGCTTCTGTGGGCCTCCTTGTGGAGGTGGTCCCTGCTGGTTTCCTGCAGGAGGGCCATTTGGTTTTGGTGGGCCTCCTTGTGGGGGTGGTCCTTGTTTATTTAAGGAACGGAAAAGGCGGTTCTGTTGTTGGCCTCCTTGTTGGGGTGGTCCCTGCTGGTTTCCTGGACGAGGAGGGCCAATTGGTTGCTGCTGGCCTCCTTGTGGAGGTGGTCCCTGCTGGTTTCCTGGATGAGGAGGGCCATTTGGTTGCTGGGGGCCTCCTTGGTGGCGTGGTCCTTGTTTATGTAAGGAACGAGAAGGACGATTCTGCTGCTGGCCTCCTTGTTGGGGTGGTCCCTGTTGGTTTCCTGGAGCAGGAGGGCCATTTGGTTGCTGTGGGCCTCCTTGCTGTGGTGATCCTTGCTGGTTTCCTGGGCTAGGGGGGCCATTTGCTTGTTGTGGGCCTCCTTGTTGGGATGGTCCCTGCTGGTTTCCAGGAGCAGGAGGGCCATTTGGTTGCTGTGGGCCTCCTTGCTGTGGTGGTCCTTGCTGGTTTCCTGGGCTAGGAGGGCCATTTGCTTGCTGTGGGCCTCCTTGTTGGGATGGTCCCTGCTGTTTTCCAGGACGAGGAGGGCCATTTGGTTGCTGTGGGCCTCCTTGCTGTGGTGGTCCTTGCTGGTTTCCAGGATGAGGAGGGCCATTTGCTTGCTGTGGGCCTCCTTGTTGGGGTGGTCCCTGCTGGTTTCCAGGACGAGGAGGGCCATTTGG